CTGCTACCGCTGCTGGCCAGGAAGCACGAAACAAAGAGCGAGTGAAGGAAGCAAGGGAAACAATACGAGAACTGCGTGCACTGGTTTTAAACAAGCTAAAGACTGTTTAGAGATGCTCTGTGTTTTCGCCGCTGTCTCTGCCATTTGATGTACATGTGCCGTGTGTTTCTGTTGCACGCCTGTGAGACAGCAGCAAGTGCACATCACAGCAGTGTGCTGGTATCCAGGTGTGCACCCACCTGGTTTGTAGCAGTTAAACCTGAAATGACAGGGAAAGCACTTCCTCTGCTAAGGACATACTTTGTTAAAGACATCAAATCCCAGCCAGATCAATTTGTGGTCTTTGTGCAACTGAATTCACTGACCTGTGCAACCCCCTGTTTACACAGTAACCTAGAACTTCTACACCATAGTTCAGAACCAGTTGATTATAAATGATGCATCCAAAACATGCTGCCTCATTTTTGTGTTTTACCCACTTAAGAAGCCTGAAATCATAAAATTAAACTTTATCTTTATATTTAAACAACTGATAATGCTTTTTTCCCCTACAGTCTATGTCAAGGATGGGCAACCCAAGGGGCTATATTCAGCCTACGGGTGACTTTTGTCTGGCCCACCAATTATTATTATGTTTTTAAACTTTGGAAAATCACTCAAATAGCTTTCAGAATCTAGGAGCTACTTCAAGAGTGCTTTTTAAAGTAAAAAATAATTTCAAATATATATTTGGGGAGGAAGCCAGTCAGACCTGGTAGGCCCAAACTGGGAACGTCTAGCAGTGTTTCCCGTCAGACTGAGCTTCAACTCCCACCTCTGGAAGAGCGTTGAACACGTTCCGGGGGAAGTGGAGGACATTGAGTCCAAGTGGGCCATGTTCCATGCCTCCAATGTCGAGGCAGCTTACCGGAGCTGTGGCCACAAGGTTGTTAGTGCCTGTCACTGCAGCAGCCCTCAAACCTGCTGATGGACACCGATGGTGAGGGATGCTGTCAGGCTGAAGAAGGACTCCTATCACGTGAGACTCCAGAAGCAGCTGATGGGTACCGGCAGTCAAAGCAGAATGCAGTTCGGAGAGTCGCCAAGGCAAAAACTCAGACATGGGAGGAGCTCTGAGAGGCCATGGAGAATGACTTCTGGATGGCTTCAAGGCAATTCTGGTCCACCATAAACACTGGGGGATGATGCGTTGRTGACCTCAACTCAAGATATTGTGGGTAGGGATGTCCCGATCCAGATTTTTTGGCTCCCGATACAATCAGATTTTTTTAAATGATTAGTCTTTCTGATACCGATCCGATACCAATCCAATAGATTTATTTCTTTATTTCTTTCCAAGTGACAAGGTTGGTAGTATTAAAGCGAGCCCTGCTGTTCCCACCATGAGAAACATCCAGTTTGCAGATTTTGCGAAATGCAGTTTCAGCATCATTGAAAAGTGTTCCCATACTGTGGACATGGTTATATACTTGTGTGCGTCTTGACTTCTTCAAGGCAGTTGTAAAGCATGATGATGCCGAAAACTGTCGCGAAAACTGGATCGGCCCGATCACAGGACTAAATCCGATTCTACCCAATTTTCAAAAAATGGCCATATCTGCCACCGATACCGATACTGAGGATCTGATCGAGACATCCCTAGTTGTGGGCCGGTGGGCGGAATACTTTGAAGACCTCCTCAAACCCACCAGCACATCTTCTGATGAGCAAATAAAGCTTGGGGACCTTTGGTTAGGCTCTCCAATCTGGTGCTGAGGTTATCAAGGTGGCAAGGCCTGAGACTGGATGAGATTCGCCTGAAGTTCCTTAAGGCTCTGGATGTTGTGTGGTTGTGTTGGTTGTCGTGACTGCAATACTGAGTGGACATCAAGGGCAGTACCTGGGCTGTGGTCTCCCTATTTAAAAAGCAGGGCCACCGAATGTGTTCCAACTACAGGGGATCACACTTCTAAGCCTTCCTGGTATGGTCTATTCAGGGGTCCTGCAGAGGAGGGTCTGCTGGATAGTCCAATATCTGATTCAGGAAGAGCAGTGTGGTTTTCATCCTGGTCGTGGAAGACTGGACCAGCTCTACACCCTCAGCAGGGTCCTGGAGGGTGCATGACAGTTCGCTCAGCAAGTCTACACGTTTTGTGGACTTGGAGTACTGTGGGTGGTACTCCAGGAGTATGGGGTACCAGCCAGGCCCTTTTATATAAGCTATTAGGTCTCTGTGCAACTGGTACCAGAGCTTGGTCTGCGTTGCCAGCAAAAAATCTGGCTTGTTTCCACTGAGAGTTGGACTCCACCAAGGCTGCCCTTTGTCACTGATTGTGTTCAGAACTTTTATGGACAGAATTTCTAATCGCAGCCAAGGTTTGAGGGAATCTGTTTTGGTGGCCTTTGGATTGTGTCACTGCTTTTTGCAGATGATGTGGTCCTATTGGCTTCATCAGATCKTGATCTTTTGCTGGAGCGGTTCATAGCTGTGTGCAAAGTATCCGAGATGAGGATCAGTGCCTTGGTCTTGAGARAGAAAAGGGTAAAGTGCCTCCTCTGGGTCAGTGAAATGGTCCTGCCCCAAGTGGAGGAGTTGTATCTCAAGGTCTTGTTCACGAATGAGGGAAGAATGGAGTGGGAGATTGATAGGCAGATTGGTGCTGCATCTGTAGTGATGCATGCGCTGTACGATCTGTCGTGGTGATGTGAGAGCTGAGTCAAAATGTGAAGCTTTTGATTTGCCAGTCATTTTGCATTCCTATCTTCATCTATGGTCACAAGCTCTGGTTAGAATTAACTAATAGTCAACGTCAACAAAGATTATAAAAATTAGTCAATGCGGCATTTAAATGTTGACGCATCATGTTATTTACCAACGTAAATTTTCATTTGTAACTACAACATAATGCTAGAACTGCTGGGAGCAGCATCGCTTCTATTGCTTGAAGTTGCATTGTTTACTACTGAAGAAGAGGTGAATGCTGGTCTGCAAACCACAGAAGAAGCTGCAGGCACACTAAAGAGTATGGCAGAACAGATAGACGAACATGTCAAACACGTAAAAAAAACATAAACTTTCTAAAGTTAGCTACATTTTAGCAAAAATCAACCAAAGAAAGTAAAATGCAGACATGGTCATTGGGTAAAAATGACTTCACGAGTCATTTGGACTCAAGAAAACAGGAGGGTTAAACATTTTGTCTTCAGAGAGTTGACACAAATATTAGCTTTATGCCCAACTGCAGGTGACATATGTAGCACAGTGAGTACATTTTTTATTTGAATTATTATATTCAATTCAACTCAGTTGACTGCACCTAAAAAGAACTGCATCCTTTTGCGCAACAAAATAGACATTATACATTTTTTAATAAAATACTCCAACATGTCTGAGGCCTTAAACAACTATGCTAGTTTCTGTTTTTGTCATTATGCATGTTTATTGCCAACATAACTCTTTACACCAAAAATAATTGTTTTAAATTACAATTAACTTTTATATTAACTTGTAATTTCACCACATGGAATACAACGTGTAGAATCATGTCAGTGAAGCTTTTCAACTGTTACAAAAACATTTAAAGCTTTCTTTCAGTTGTTCAGTTTCCCCTTTRACTGCTATACGACAAACAATTCTATCTTTGCTCATCTATTTCTTTAAATTTTCATTCAGTCATCCACCATAACTGCCCCTTCAAACCACTGAAAATGCTCTACAGAACAAGTAGAAGTCAAACACTATAAAAAGAAGTAATTAGAAAAGTTATTTTAACTACTTTCAAGTATTAAAGTCACATCAGTAGTTAATTTTTCTTCCCTCCTTACTAATATGAAAAGAGGAACAGTTATTGCTGTTTCAGCAGACAACAGAAAACAAACTATCAGTTACTAGGAACACAGTCAAGAAAGCGTTGATTGGTACTGACTGATCTGCGATCTGTTACAACACGGCTTCGACAGTAATCTCGTCTGGGTGTTTCCAATAAGTCCAGAAATGACCAGAACAAGCAGCAGCAGCAGCGAAATGCCGCTGGCTGGTGTCAAGCTAAGTGGGCATGTCGGGGCTGTGCTGTCCTGGCTGCTTGCCTGCTCTCTCAGCTGCTCAGTCAGTCCCCAGCGTCCTGGAGCCTAAATGGATCCAGTTGCTGCTGCTCAGCTTCAGTGGTGGGCTGATCTGGCTGACTAATGAACCTTTTTTTAACTAATAAGTGGGGAAACCCTCATGCTAAATCTCCACATCACCTGTTTTTGTCCCCACTCGTCTGCATCTTTACCAGTGTTTACACTCTTTGTTTTCTTTCTCTCTTCCCTGAAGCTTTTATCTTCCATTTGTCTCATCCACCTCTTCCTCTAATACTGGCCTCTATCTCCCTTCATCCTCTCATCTCAGCTCCTGACTGTGCACAGTCTTCACACTGTCTAAATATCTCACTTCACCTCCCTGACTGATAGTCTTTCACCAACAGTTTGCCATCTCTTTCCTGTTTCTCTATCCATCATCAGCTCTATTAAAAGCTCTTTGAACAACTGTTGTGCAACCAAAATATTTCATGGGGGCAGTTCAGATTCGAATGTTGTTGCAGGACCAGTGATCTGTCTGCAACCCCTTATGTGCAGACGGAGTGAGATAAGGATGTAGAGGTAAATTCATATGAGCTATCTTTATGTATTTTCTGTAAATAATTTGAATTGATCACACTTAAACATAGCAAGCAAAAGTAGGCACATATAGCGCCACTCTCCACAGCAGACCCCAAAAGGAAGTCATCAAAATTTTATGCTAACTTTAATAAAACAATTTCTAATTAATGCAGAAAAATGCTAATGCCTTTACTCTTATCTGTCTGAGTCATTCAGTGTTAACTCAGACAGACCCTGAATTTTGGTGCCCAGCATAAAAAGGGGCCAAATTTTATTGCTTTTTTTTTTACACATCTCTTCCAATGTGCACCACCCCCTCCAGAGATGCATTTTTGCTGAGCTCAGCAGCCAGGAAGAAACACACAAGTTGTCCAACTCACCAAGCCGTCACAGTTGCTGATGGCTGCGGTGGCTCCTGGGGTGTCAGTGATATCTCCCACAAACAGGCACTCATCATGCAGCGGCTCAGAGTACCGGATGTTGTCGCTGTCGTCATGCCACTCCATCTTGGCTCCGGGGGCCACCAGCCTGGCATTGTGGCGCAGGCGCAGGTGAAACTCCCGGCCYAAGACGGTGACGTTGTAGTAAAGCCTCTCCTGATGAGCTAGGTGCTCTCGATTCTCCTCGGCTCCTGTCGGACCTTCCCACTCGTTGTTGCCTTCTCCTACCTCCCTCCTCCGGCGCCTACGGGACTGCCCTCCTGCCACCCGGCCGGCTGAGACGGCATGTGATAGAAAGCGGCCCTCCGCYTCCACACTGATCGGCCTAACCAGTCCATACTCCCCCAGGACGTGCTGCAGGGAGTCTAAGGGGGGAAAGACAGTTGTGTTGGGTAATGGGAAGAAGGCAAGAGGAAACAAGGAGGGGGGATGATGAACAGTTGACAATTTTGAAAAATGGGAAAGAAAAAACAGAAAGAGGAAAGAAACATAAAAAGATGAAGGGAAGGACAGGTCATGTGGAAAATAATAAGAATAAGAGGCGAAAAGAAAATAGACAGAGGGTAATAGGTAGAATAGAAAAAAGGAAAATATTTTTAATGCTTTTTTATTCCTTATTACAATAAGTAAAAATTAAAGAACACATAAATTAAAAAAATCAAGTCACATTTGCACACACACAAAGCCCCATCCATGGTGCTCATTATGGAAAGCCCTCAGTGACAAATACACTACATTTTGTACAACTTTGACGCAAAAACAAAGCAATGGATATGCAAATTTTCTCTGTTTCTGTTGAACTGCACCTTTTGTTAGTTTCAGATGTGTTGCTTCCCTTTGACTGTTCAAAGCTAAACCAATTTAGAAAAAAGAGGGGGTGCCTCCCACTGGTTCAATGGACAGAGAAACTTCGGTTTCTATACTTCAATTTTTTTTCATATTTTAAAGCAGTAAACTCCCAAGTAAACAATATATAAAGCATAGATAAGTATAGAAGAAGAAATGTACGTTGTAATACCAGAAATTATATGTATGCTACAAAATAATAATAATAATAATAAATAAATAAAAATCACTAAAGCTTTGTTCAGTAAATAATGCCACATTTAGGTTATTGAAGGGAGGACATTCAAAGTTTCAGCTTGACCTTGATGAGTAAAATTTTGATGACAACAACAATAAATAACATGTAACATATAAATAGTACACGGTACTATTTATGTGTTGTTTATGCGACAAAGTCACATACCATAATCCAGACCAGTGTTTCCCAACTCTGATTTCAATTGATTGCCCATTAACAGGCTCGAATCAGGTGTGTTAAAGCAGGGAAACATCTAAAACAGTTAGGGCAGTGTGCCTTGAGGACCAGGGTTGGGAAAAACTAATCCAGACTGAATACATCCAATGTTTGCATTTTTTTTTTAGTTTTATTGTTTAAATGGCTATTTATGCATTGTTCGCCAGCCAATGTCACCCCAACAGTCACGTGTATTTTGGCACCGATGGCTTTCCATACCGGGCTGCGCGCGTTTAGGAAACGGCAGCCTCAGCAGCGAGCGCTGCGCTCCTGACACCTTCTGTGCCCTTCCAGCGCCAACAAGAAAAGCCGGAACAAGACTCAAGGCGCTAACTGCGGCTTTCTCACGCTGTTTTTCATCACTGTCAATCTGCAGGATCAAAGAAAAAAATATAAAATCTACAAACTCTAAATCAGCTGAAACAAAAGTAATTCAAGATGATTTTACGCACTCCCTTAAAATATGCTCCGCATTTTGCCATCGTCTGCCTTTTTTAAATCTTTTTTTATTAGCAAATATAAGCCACTTATTATTTTATGATTAAAATATTCCCACGTGACTGTGACGAACGCAGGTGCTCTCAGCGCCCCCCACTTCCTAACAAGGAAGACCCCAGTTTTATTGTGTCAGTGTCAACACAGATGGTCTTATTGGGCCACTTGTGTTTATCCCACTTTAAAGTCTTAATTCATAAAAGTTTGCAGACTGATAGGATCAAACGCGCTCTCTTATGGCAGCTCGAGACTTGGTAATAAGTGTGATCGATAGGCTGACATCCGACTCCCTGCGTCCTGTGACGGATCGATAGATGCGACAGCGGCCGAATCAGATAACGTTTGGCTTACTTCCTTGCAAAATCCGACAGAGTGTTCACCTCCATCTGAAAACACCCACTAAATCACTGCACTATGATAATAAAGATGTGAGGAGAGAGAATCACAACAGTGCTTGAAAGTGCAAAAAGAATAAAAAATAAAAAAGCAGCAGGACAGAAGTTATAAATGTGTGAATTCAGAAGAGGACATCCTGAGAAAAGCGTTAAAGAAGCAGATGAAGTGTCCTGCCGCTGCGATGAGCCGCACAGCTTTAAAGAGCGCCGCGCCGCTGCTGAGATGGTCAGATAACGGACAGCAGGACAACAAACACCGGCCACGCTCGGCCGGACTGTACTTACTAACGCTACTGGCGACGTAAAGGCCGCTGGTGTGCTGCAGGAAGGCCGGCAGAATAATTAGGACAGTAAATCCCGGCGAGAGACCCATGGCAGCTCCGAACTGCGCAGGTGAGAGAGTGGGACTCCGGGCTCCAGTGTGGTGAAGTTCCCCCCCAGCCTGGCGCGACCAGCCACGCCACGACAGCAACAGCACAGCAGCCCGCAACTAGACTGCCAAGTGCACCGGGAGAGACGGAGCTCTCCTACTCCTCCTCCTCCCCCTTTCTCTCTGTCTCTCTCCTCCTCTCTCTCTCTCACTAAACTCTTCCCTTTCTTTCCGCTCCCTCCTTCCCTCAACTCCTCTCTAGGCGTGCTCCCCACCCCCCTACACACAAACACACACAAACACACACACTTTCCTGTGGTGCTCCGACACCGTTCGCTCACTCACTCACTCGCACGCCGGCCACTGGGCTCCACTCCCCCCGTGTTTCTCTTCGATGTTTCACGGAGCGCTGGCCCACCTACAGACGAACACAGGCCCGCCGCTTCATCTCACCTCCAGCTAGAAGCCTGGAGCCTGAAAGTCTTTATTTATTTATTTATTTATTTATTTATTTATTTATTTATTTATTTATTTATTTATTTATTTATTTATTTATTTATTTATTTATTCAACTAGGGAGCGCTTTCCAGGACCTCCACTACCCGCTCTGGTCTCCACTCAGCCGGTTTCTGATCCGCTGCGAGCCCTTCGGAAACTTTGAATATTCCACTCGGTCCGGGCGGACGGGCAGGGTTTGGGTGAGCAGCAGCGCCCCTTGTGGCCGACTGAGGGAGAGCACCAGGTTTTGCAGGACCTAAGGGTTCAATTTACAGACGACAAAATAGCCCCTTTCTGGTTATTATTGCCCTTATTTAGAAAATAATGTACCTCTCTTGACCACAAATATAAAAATGTTAAACACTGATGTGCCCATCAAAAAGAAAAGAAGTAGGTCCTCTGGATGGGTTCTTTAATGAAAGAAAAAAAAACATAGAGGACCTACTTAATTAATTTTTTTTTACCTGAGTTACTGAGAAGCATCAAGACATTGATGTGCACAGTGATATAAACCACTTGTTTACCCCCCGCCCCCCAAAAAAAAGTTTTTAGAAAGTACTTTATTTTCTAATTATTTTGTTTAACAAACTAAAAGAAAGAAAGAAAGAAAGAAAGAAAGAAAGAAAGAAAGAAAGAAAGAAAGAAAGAAAGAAAGAAAGAAAGAAAGAAAGAAAGAAAGAAAGAAAGAAAGAAAGAAAGAAAGAAAGAAAGAAAGAAAGAAAGAAATGTAATGCCTATGTTGCTTCCTGCTTTTCATAACAAAATGTATGTGTTGAGGATTACTCTCAACCACATAAAGTTTTAACTCTATCAGTAAAACAGACTGAGTCAGATTATTAGTATCTGTGAAAATAAATGCAGCAGCACTTTGGACTACTTGTCTACAGCTCATTGTGAGAGGCTTGTAAAATGGTCAATACAGCAGTTCTAATGTGAATTATGTCTTCAAAGTCAACTTTTGATGCAAACATTTTACTTTTAAAATGTCTTTAAAAAATAAAAACTATTTATTTATTTATTTATTCATTCATTTATTCATTCATACAGGTAATCTCATTGAGGCAGCTCATCTCATTTACAAGAAATACATGTAAAACGAGCACACATAATGTTACACAAAATTACAAAATATTTTTGACATTAAAAAAGGACAACATTGAACAAATATATTTTATTTAGTTTTAAATTTTACAATTGTTTAACCAGGCAAATCCCACTGAGATCACAGGTCTCTTTTTCAATGGAAGCCTGGGCCTGTTTTTGTGGAGAAACCGGAGTACCCAGAGAAAACCTGCAAGCACAAGAAGAACATGCAAACTCCGCACAGAAAGAACCCAGGTCCGAACTGGGGGATCGAACCCAAGACCTTCTTGCTGTGAGGCATCAGCACTAACCACTGATCAACTGTGCTGTTTTAGTTCCAATCTAATCTAAACACAATAAGAAGCTTGAAACGACAAATTTCCATATAAAATATTCTAGTGGGAATAAACTGGACAGTTTCAGTTCTCACTGCTGTGAATTCCAGAAAGATGGAGCAGAATAAATTTGAACAAATTTGAAAGCCCGATGTACTTCAGTCCAAGGAATAAGATTGTGAAATAATCTGGAAAGTGGATATAAAAAATGGTGGTTCAGTGTATTTGTTTAAAAGAATGATAAAAGTTAGTTTGTTAAAGAAATATGAAATTGGATAATGTGTATTCATAAGAGTTGTTGTTCATGAAGGAGCTGAAGTTTTTGTTTTGTTTTGTTACTTGAACATTATTATTGTTTGAAATTATTTTTTTGAAAATAGGGACAAATATAAGATTTTTTTCTTCTTTCTGCTGCCGTTCATTTTATTTGTGATTTGTATTTTTTGTTGTATATTCAATTTGTTTTTGCTTTTAAATGAAATGAAAAAAAAAACATGAATAGCAGAAGGATTTTTTCCAAGTTCTGTGAAAAGTGGACACTGAAAAACAATAAGTCCTGGGAGCATAGATTATGACTGCTGTCTCTGAGTTATATAACTGATATGACTTTTATGTTTTGATACCTATATACCAAGGTTTTGTGTTTCTTTTTCATTGAATCTAAACTATTATGTGATAAACGTACACCTGTAAGTTAATGAAGCCTATATTTACATTCATTTTATGGATGGTCAGAAAGAACAAGCACAGGCCACCTGATGACTCTTTCTGTAGGGATGAGCTCATYTTTGTGCTTGTAGAGTATAGTGGTGGTTGGTTGTTACCTAAAGGCATAGTGCAGGAGATGTCACCTAAATAGTTATGCAAAGCTACGGGCAAATCAGAACAGAGAATTTGTGATTTAAAGTGGGTTAATCATGCTAGTGTCCTTGCCAATAGCTGGAAAAAAAAGGCTTTTAGTTTTTTTTAAGTCTGTCAGTATTTTATACAAAATATTAAAGGCGTGTTGTTAAGTTGCTGATAGAAACTCAATTTTTTGAGTGATTTCAGTTKCCTGACTCTGGAAAATTTTATGCATGCTAAATGCAGTGAAATGTTTGAGGAAAATGAGCTAAAATCTCCATTATCTCAGGAAAATTAATGTATTATTCTTGCAGCAGGTCAAGGGCTTCTCTCCTTGACCTGCTGTCTCCATGACCTGATCCTACAAATGTGGTTGAAAAAGGATGGATAGATTGGTGATAAAATACCTCTTTCTAATTACTCACAAGACCAGAAAACCTCTATATTTTTATATGTTTCTGTTTAAATGTAGCTTAAAAAAGGCTCGAGCACATCAGAGGTGTATCCATAACAGGTTCTGCTATTATGCAAAGTCAATATTTGCAATTACTGTCTTCATGGAAATGATTGTTTCATAACCTCTGTCTTTTCCTCATTGACATAAAATATAGTCCTAATATACATTATTCACCCACTATTTTCTTTCTGGGTCCCAGGGATCTGCCTCCTGGACTCTAAGAGGCAGGGCACTGGTTACACCCTGGACAGGTCCATCACAGGACCACATAGAGACAAATAAAACACAAGCCAATTAAACCAACATTCAGTTTTTAATGTAAGGGAGAAAACGAAAGTATCTGAAGAAAATCCAGGAAGAACATGCAAACTCCACACAATCAAGCCGGGAAGCTAAAGTGCAACTTTCTTGCTGTGAGGTGACAGCACTGACTACCCCACTGCCATACCCGATCCTGACATGTAAAGTGTAAACAGATTCACCTGCTGCCTGTAAGGCTCATTAGCATCATTTAAACTGTGGTAGCAAAGGCTGGAACGTAACAGATGTTCATTTAAATCTGCTGGGAAAATCTATGACCACAGCAGGTCTACACCTCTCCCATCCAAAATTCTGACTGAAAAAAGTGAAACATCTTTAAGAAAGTAGAGAGGTAGTCTAGTTGCTTTTTTTAATCTCTGATTATCATGTCCTGAACGGCCGAGTGTCTACACTGCTTGGATGCAATTAAACTATTTTAGTTCTTGCTCATGGGAGCAGAGCAAGATAAAACTGAGCTCATGTTAAAAAAATAGGATGACTGCCTGATATAATTTTTTTAGATAGCAGGGGAGAGGTCACAGCAAGAGGGTTGCACGTTCCCCTCACAGCCTTTCTAGGTGGAGTATATACTGTATGTTCTTCCTGAGTACAGATACTCTGATTTCCTCCCACTGACAAAACCCATGCATGTTACGGTAATTAGAAACTCTAAATTGTTCCTATCTGTGAGTGAGAATATGTATGGTTGTTTGTCTTGTTTGTCTGCGTGTCTCTGTGATGGACTTGTGACCTGTCCAGGGTGTACCCCTCCTCTCACACAGTGGCTGCTGGAGTAAGGAACCAGTCCTGGAACAGAAAAACAAGTAAAGAAAAAAGATAAATGGGTAGTTCTTGCTGCCAAGAATTATAATCTGGATATTTTTATGTTCTTGTCTTCTGAAGGGAGTCACTAAATAAACTCTACAGATGAGTGAAACTCCAGAAATGTTACAGTGAGCTGTGAAAAWTTTTTTTCTAACATTTTCTGCTACTTTTATTGCCACTACCACTATGTTATTAAATATTGGTAAGTAAGTAGGGGAGACAGGGGCACAGTTGCAACACTTTTTTCATTTGACTCTGTTACTCAGAGTTGGTTTGAATTAGACAAACCAAATTTTAATACAACAAACTTACGTCTGTTAATAATTAAAACCATTTATATATGATTAAAGCATGTACATTCTTCACAATTTGCATTTGAAAATGAAAAGTCAGATGTTGCAACTGACCCTGTGGCCGGGGACAGTTGCAACATTGTTTGGGGATGGTTGCAACATCTTATTAATACAATATATTTCACTGTAAATAAAAGTTTAATTATTTTTATATTTATATTATTGCTTAATTCATAAAAACTAAGTTAGAATGATTTTACAGTGTTATTTATTTATTCTTTCTGATCAAATGACGAATATWGATCTGACTTAATGAGGAGACTTTACTCACTGATGTCAAAGACTCACATCGATATAAAATACAGTTGGCTTTCAGTGACAAGGTTAACAGAACAATTTGTGAGGCAATTAAATTTTGTTTTGCCTAWTGTCACTGTACGCCTACATTATGCAAAATTTACTTTGAAAGAAACTGGGATTTTAAAACCATTGTTGAAAACAACAACTGCAGAAAATACATCTTAAACACTTATAAGTTTTAAACTATTAAACTGTCATGA